AACTCAATCTGTTAGTAGAACAAGTATTCAGACCCTTTACTTCATAAAAAGTAATAATACCATGGAGAGAAAATTCAGTTAATCAAGTATAAGCCCTACACTCACAATTTGACCTAATAAAATTACAATGATATTCAATTAAAGTATCAAATGTAATGGTTTCATTATAGCAACAGGTATTACATATTTAAACATTAAAATATTAGCACAGTTTTCATGGAATATTTGGTTGATGACAATCCGATTTTATCCATCCATCCATTGTCTATACACCGCTTAATCCTCACTAGGGTTGCGGGGGGCTGGAGTCTATCCCAGCTGACTTAGGGGACACCCTGGACAGGTCACCAGTCCATCACAGGGCTACACTTACAGACAGACAACCAAGCACACTCACATTCCCAATTTAGAATCTTTGGATTGTGGGAGCTAGAGAACCTGGACAGAACCCACGCTGCACAGGGAGAACATGCGAACTCCACACAGAAAGATCCCGGGCGTCCTAACCGGGCCGTGACCCGGGGACCTTCATGCTGGGAGGTGCTAACCACTGTGCCACTTTGCAGCGCCATCAGATTTTATATACTTTTATAAAAACAAATCTTGCATAACGTTGCATCATAACCTGCTGTATGTGCTGCTCACACTATACTATTACTTATTCTTACTTTAACCTTCTGAACCCCAGGCAGCTTTTAGGTATTTTTTTTTCTGCTGTCACATTTTTACTTCATCTGTTACTGTAATATGAAGTCCTGCATCTCTATGGAAACAACACAACCATGACTAGAAGTAGAGAGAGCTCAGAAATGTCTTTAAAGCAGAATGACTGTTTTAATGCCAAAAATCATGAAAAAGAAACAGCAAAAAGCAAAAGTTGTTTTCTTGTTTATTTATTTGATAGAATTTAAAAAAACAAACAAACAGAGTGATAGTTATTCTGGTAGATTAGTCATAATGGCTCCTTAAGGATATCAGTATCTGGAACTCCCAACTAGTCAGTCAGAACTGATGAAGCCTCTTGGATGAGAGGTGAAACATCTTCAAGGAACTCAAGCAAGTCCAGCTGCTACGATTAATCTACCAGAAAAAAAAGGCAGCAAAGTAACAAATAAATACACAACACAATGCTCAACCACAACATTAAAACCACCTGCCTCACATTGTGTTGGTCCCCCTTGTGCAGCCAAACAGCTCTGATGTGTCAGGGCAGGAACACTGTGCCTCTGGCGGGGTCCTGTCTCTGACACCAGGACATTAGCAACACATCATTGGGGTGGGTGGGCCGTGGCATGGGGCCTCCATGGATCTAACTTGTCTCGCAGATGCTCAGTCTGGGAAGTTTGGAGGTTGAGTCAGCACCTTGGGCTCTGTTGTGTTTATTGTGCTGCTCCTGAGCAGTTTTTTTTGCAGTGTGGCGGGGTGCGTAATCATGCTGGAGGGGGCTGCGGGGAGCGATGCTGCCATGGAAGGACGTGACAATATTAACGTGGGTGGTACGTGTCAAAGCAGCATCCACAGGACTCAAGGTGTCCCTGCAGAACGGTGCATTACTATGAGGTGAGACATGTTTTTCCCTTTAGACTGTCAGTGGCTTTCATGTTGTGGCTGATTGCTGTATGTTGATTTCTTCTCAAAAATGGTAAAGAACAAATACAAATGAGCTTAAAATGGAAATAAAGTTTAAGGGTCTCGCAGATTAAATTCAAATGTCTGTGTTGAGTATTTTATTAGGCTCTTGTGTTCTGCTGACCTCCAGTGGCACTTATACAAACTACAGCCACTGAACACAGACAGGCTAGAACAGGACACAAGAACCAGCTAACTTTTCCCGAACAGCTCCCAATGTTCACTTTCAGCGCTGATCCGTGTGCCGCCCTATGTGATATCCCCCAACTGTTTGGTAGTCGAAGCACAGCTGTTGGAGCCACCAGCTCTCACACATTCCGAAGGGGAACAGATGGAGCTGTTGAGGCTGAAAAACTGCACTGAGTTCACCCCACAGCCACATTTCAACTGAGGTCTAATTTCCACCGAAGCATACGGTTGCTTAAGATGTTTCAAAGTTACACCAGTGGTTTATGAAGGAGATTTTTTACTGCGTCTGTTCCAGATCAAACATCAAGTTTGTCTGGTATCTGTCGTTCTTATCACCCTCAAGTCCAGCAGACACACCCCTCATATAGAAACTCTGCGTGCCACAGCTGTCACTCTTTTGAAGACAGCCGGCCACGCAGGCCACCTGAAATTAGGTCAAAGACATTATCAGTTTCGGTCCATACAGAATAAACGTCTCTGGATACGAAACTCCACCTTAGTGATCTGAGCAGTGGAAACATGCTGCCAGTTATTTAAAGACTAATTACACTCAGTTTATTGTGGTGTTTTTACTACATTTGAATCAACTCTCCTCATACTTGGTTTCATAATTAAAATGAGCTTTTTCTAGACATTTTGGGCATAACGACTAGCTGGACAAAATTGTTGGTGAAAGAAAAACCCACAACGGTCACATAAATAACTTGAGTCTGACAAAAGTAATAATAAATAAAAATTGTATGAAAATTAACCAATGAAAGTCAGACATTGTTCATGGTCTGTTGAACCATGAACCATGGTTCAACAGAATTATTTTAAAAAAATAAACTCATGAAACAGGCCTGGACAAAAATGATGGTGCCCCTAGAAGAGACTGAAAATAATGAGACAACTGGAGCAGTCTGCTCATGAGGAGTGGCCCAACATACCTGCTGAGCGGTGCACAAGTCTCACTGACAGTTACTGAAATCGTTTGATTGTCTCAAAAGGTTGTGCAACAAAATATTAAGTAAAAGGTACCATCATTTTTGTCCAGGCCTGTTTCATGAGTTTGTTTTTTTAAATAATTCTGTTAAACCACCTTTCAAAAGCAATGTCTGATTTTCATTGGTTAATTTTCATAGAATTTTTATTTACTATTACTTTTGTCAGATTCAGGTTATTTCTGTGACCGTTGTGGGTTTTTCTTTCATTAACCGAGGGGTACCAACTATTTTGTCCACTCACTATAACAAGAGCCAAGCACAAGTCAGTCAGATTTCCGACTCTGTGAAATGAATTGAGGCCAGCTTATTGCAAAATTCATGCAGCCAAGTCTTTTTCATACAATTAAATTTAAGCCGACTGTGACTGAAACTCTTTCCAGATAAGATGCTCAAAGGGATTCAAAACTTTTAGGACATAACAGCAGTCGAGAAGTTTCAGACGGCACGACAATGAAAAACACAACAGCTGCCAGCAGACGTTTAGCGGGAAAAAACAAGAAAGACATCGAAGGAGCTGCAAAACTTAGAGGAAATGTTTTGGTAATTACTCTCATTTGTTTTGTTTGTTTTCAGTGATCAGCGCCAGCGTAACTGCCTTGTTCTGTTTCCAATCCACCTGGACTGCAACAGACATGAGGGTCCTACCGATCTCCTCATCAAACTCTCAACAAGACACCAAATGAAATGTAAGCAATTTCTCAACATGTCAAATTATTTGTGTGAGATGGCCTCGTCTTAGCTTTTGGTCGTTTTCCACTTGAGGAACTTGCAGGATGTTCTTTGAATCTTTGAGTCTGGCCGTTTTGTGGGGAAGAAAAAGTCCTGTGCAGGTCTCGTTGCTGATTGATTAAATTCAGACGAGACAAATGGTGAACTCAGGAAGGACAACAAGCACTGTTTTTTTTTTCCATCTCGATGCCCTCGTTGAGGAGCAGCCTTTTGTCTAACGTCATAACGCTGGGCAAGCAGGAACCCAGAATAGCAGCAGAGTCGTATATTACGCTAAGCAGGAAATAATGCTGACTACGGACTCTCTGATGGGTATCAAAGAAATCAGGTTGGGGTTTTTCCACGGTAGGAGGGAGTTGGACGAAGTTCGCAAGTATATAAGGACATGTAATGCATCGTTATCCAGCCAAGTCTCGAGATTTTGCTCATGTTTGTTCATGCAGTCTCTGTTTCGAATAGACATTATTTACATCAGACTCTGACGACTGTTTGGAGATTTTGTCCTTCTCGTAGAACTTTTTTTGAGACCTGAAGTACCTAGCTGAGGATCGTTATTTCAATTATATGTTTTGATGACGCTGCCTGATCATCGCTGGCCCGAACCAGGCAAGCCGAGTCACTACACAATGGAAACAGAAAAGCTGAAAGGGCATTTTTCGGGGCTGTTCCTGTAAACTTTTGCGCTACCTTGTTCTTACACCAACATCTGTTTACTTGGCATTTTGTAAACTACTACTGCTACTAAAAATGCATGTATAGTCTGCATGAAAAGTTAAATACTATGCCATTTTTATACTGTTAACACATTATTTGCATACGCATAGTGTGCGAAAACAGCTACTGTTGTCTCTTTTGTGGTGTTTTGATCTGAAATTTAAATACATAAAGAAAGAAGAAACATCAGCTTTACTTTACTTTCTACGGATGTGTCTTTGCCACCTGTTCTTTCCATTGTGATGCAGATGATGTAACGGTTTTATATCTTTCCATACTTGCTCTAAGTGACTCTGACAGACACTTTCTGAATCATTAGCAGAGTCAGTACCAAGGACAAAGTCACACACAAGATAATTCTCTTTGTGCCCGCGGGATTAAATCACATTATGTCACAGGACGATACTGTGTTGTGTTCATAGTCTCACACTGGTATTTGTTGGCTCACACTTTGGACTCCAACGTGAAATACAGCACCATAGCAACGCAGCAACACAGTAAAACTGCATAATAAACAGGACTTGTTTGTTTAGATACTGCACATAGTGTATATTATGAATGTAGAAGTTATAGTTTCAGAATAAGACTGATCCAGATGAAGGGTTACAGTAGGGCACTGGGTATTCTGGAGAATCTGTGGGACTCAGTTGATAAATCTACATTCTGATGCCAGCAACAACTGTTAGTTTCATTGGAACAGATCGTAGGAGCAACATTTTTTCTTTAAATATTTGCAATAATGTCAGTGCAGGGTACATGCACAGAACAGTCGGCATATTTATTGATATGTGACATTAACAGGAGGAGCAGGATTCACTGACTTTGTCCGAACTCTCCTCAGACGACAGTTAGAGCTCATACTCGTACAGATACACGTTAAAAGTCCAGTGAAAGGCTGTCAGTTTGGAAAGCGTCTCGCACAGTGGAGCACTTTCTCTTCAATCTCTGCACACAGGCTGCCTCTGTAGCCTGGAAGCTGCTCGGCTCCAAATATACAGATCAAAAAAGCCTCCAGCACAAGTTCTCCTTGTCCTCCTCCAACCCAGGAGTCCAGAACGGCATCCTTTAATACGTACATAAGGCTCTTTTTGCATTGCTAATGTTGGTGAGTAACGATATTCTGTGTGAGTTTAACCCTCTTAACCCCAAAAACCTGGCAGTGGCTTTTAAAGCATGTTTTTGGGGGGTTTTAACGTAAAAAATGACATCAGTTGTCAGAGCCAGAAACTGTGAAGACAAAAAAACTCATTGGATTTTGAACTTTACAACAGTCCTTGAACTGTAGCCAAATCTAAGCTGAAAACGGTGATATTTCATCAAAATTGCTTTATTCTACTTGCCTTATTTATAAAATTGTCAAAAATAAACCTTTTGTTTTAACCAGTTCATTAGAAACGACAGAAATTCAGAGACTTTGTGACTAAGCCAGGATGAACTGCAGGCTGTGTTTACAGATAAAGGAGGTAGATGACAAGCATGGAAATAAATCAAAACTAAGTGGTAAAATATCTGTAGAATGCAAAGCTCCTGTTTTGTTTTTTTATTGTTTTGTTATTTTTTTAAAAACATAAATAATCAGAGAAAACCAAAGAGCTTTTTCCAAGATTCATGGTTAAAACTGTATCATACTGGACAGAAGACATCGTTGGATTCTGTCTACTTTGAAAAATGTTGGACATATTGATTACAGTTTTTTCTAAATCCCAAATAAATAAATAATCAAATCAACTTTTTTATGGCAGGATAACTTGGTCACACTACACTGAAGACATTTTTGAGTTTCCTCTACTTCTAGCCATGGCTGTTCTGTTTCCATTGAGGTGCAGGACTTTATACTGCAGTGAAAAATGAGTTCACAGTGAATAAAAATGTGTCAAGAGCTGAAAACATCCGGGTGGTGCTTGGGGTTCAGAGGGTCAATTTTGTGGATTGAGGAGTAAGTGATGCTAACTGTTGATTTTGTACTGCAGATGTCTAAACAGTGTGTTTTTGTGAAGTGACGCTAAAGCAAAACGAGCAGTGAACAGATTAGAAACCGTACAGAATGACACAAAGCTACTAAACAGTAGCTGCTGCTACTTGTAAGATTGCATATTTCTATACATTTATTTAAGCGACTACAATTCTCAAAAGTGAACATGGAGTGTCCGGTCCTCCTACAGTCTTTTTCCATGTATTTCAGCGTCCAAGTGTCTCCCACGCAGACCAGTGACCGGTCGGCCTGATCAACTGTTATCACCAGCTGTCAGCTGGTGTCACAGCTTTTTCCAACATAGCAACAATTTATTTAGCACCAAGCAGTCAGCTGCACTTAGAGAAAGGCTACAAGTGCCTGTTGCCCCTCAGCATTGGGGAAAAAAAAAAAAAAAACGTCCTTGCCACTAAACACTCCGTTCCAACTTGTGTTTATCATAAATCCAGGAAGGCATCTTCTTTGTAGTCTCAGACACGCTGTTCTTCAAAAGGAGAGGCACAAACTCCTGTCGCTCTCTATCCAAAAATGTCCTTCCTCTGAGGCCTCGGTGCTGTTCAGGGACATCTGATAGTTCGCTGCCATCGCTGTGAGACAAAAGGCAGTGGCTTCGCGTAAACACTTCCCAAATTTGTGGATGTGCTCGCTCAGACTTCTCACACAGAGTTGGTATGCAGTGGTTCTGTGGAGTCCGGTGTTAGGACCGTGTGTGTCGCACCGGTGTCCATCATACTGAGCTTCTCTGTGCCGTTCCTCGGTTCTTCCCTCCGCCTTCTTCCCCTCCGCCGACACAATCTGCACCGGCGACTGAGAGAGAAACAACCAGGGTGCATGGATGAGCCAAGAACATATCATTCACTTCATTTGAAAGCAACCGTCTGGAGAAAACACTTGTCCTGCTTTATTGCCAACTGTTAGATGAGGTAATTTATTGTCACTCTCGGCAGTTTAGCTCAGAATAAAGACCGGAGGTGTTAGAGAACAACCTCATTACCAACTCGTGACATGCTGCTGCTTTGTTGGGACTCCTTGGTGCCACATTACAGGTGCTTTTTAGCATCATTTTCGATGCGCTAGGTAGTCCTGAGAGACCTACAAAAGCCTGTAAATGTCAGGAATAGATGCAATGAGAAATGTTTTCAGGTGACAATTTTGCCTTGAAACATATGTTTAATGCTGTGAAAGCTTATATTTTAACCCAAACCGGGATCTTTTCCTAAACTTAACCCAACAGCGAGTGAAACCAAATATGACAAAATGATTTTTTTTGTCTGATACAGGACATAAAGCTAAGGCTCCTGTCACTTTTGCAACCTCTACCCCTGCAACCACCTTGTAAACAGCAAAAAATCTACTTTTTACATCAACCTGCAAGGAATACTGACCCTAGTGGCACTATAACCCCAAAGGAAACCTTCTACACATCTGTGAGCAGCTCTGACCAAACGGCAGTATTTGAGGTCTTAAGAATGTAAATGGGTTGGATGTTAGTTTGTGATGCATGCCACATGTTTAGTCATCAGTTTGACTCCTGGACATTTGCTGAATGTCATTCCTCTACTCTCTTTCTTCACATTTCCTCCCTGTCTCTGGTGCAACTACCCAACAAAGGCAAAAATGACGACAGGTGGTTGAGGCGAACAGCTGGCCAAGCTCCACCAAAAGGTCAGGAAATCTACCCGTTTTTAGTCGTAGGTGTTTGTGTGCTTGTGACAGAGCAGCTCCGCTTCTATTTTAATCAATCCAGCTGTTCACACCGGCCACGTAACGCGTCACTCGTGCACTTAAAGGCAACCCAAAGCATGTCTGAGTGTAGCCGGCTGGGCTCTGAGTGTTGCTTGCACTCTTAGCCGTCCCTGATCCTGTGCAGACACAGACGAGGCTGAAAATGTCAAACTGTTCCTTATGCAAGCTGATAAATCACATTTTGTCCGTCTATCTCACACACACACACACACACACACATACACAAGGCTTACTGTGAACAGATGCAGATGACAACAATGAGAAGAATGAGGAGCACGAGCACTGCAATGATGCAGACAACTATGACTTGTCGGTCCGTCAGTGGCACCGGCAAATCCACATATTCACACCTGGAGCCATGGTAACCAGGATCACACCTGAGACGAAGGAGAAGAAATTAGGTTCCTAACTTCCATTTTTCATATGCTTTACTGTGAGTTGTACTTGCACCCATCTGTTTATCTGCATCCACAGACACATTAGGACTCATCACAGAAAATCCATATAGCGCAGGAACATAATGAACGATGAAACAAGTCCGCTGCTCTTCGTGCATTTGTTCTGTTTGCAGAATTGTCTTTGTTGCAAAGCTCCTAACACTCTCTCCTCTTTACAGCTACATCTCTCTCTATATATTTTCCATCAATCAGTGTCTTCTTTTTGTTTTGCCTCTCACCTGCAGGACGGTGCCTTCTGTTGCTTCACGAAGCGACACTCCCCGTGGATGCAGTAATGCTTCAGGTGCTCAGGACATTTGGTCAGGTGGCCATTCCACTCCCCTGTGTCTGTTGTGTTTGTTGGAGAAATAAAATGACAGCAAGTTAGTGTCGCATTAGCGCTTATCAGCTGGTAACACGCTCACGACAGAAGCAAGGATGAGCGGAATCAATTAGTTCTAGTTTGATGTAGTTTTAAGGAATAGTTTTACATTTTGGGAAAAGTGCCTGTTTGCTTTCTTGCTGTAAGATCAATGCCACGCTCGCACAGTGAGGACAGAGGGAAATGGTTATTGTAGCCAACTATGAGCATCTTTGAGGCTCACCAATGAACACGTCTCTACTTCTGGCCAAGAAATAGTCCACAACCTAACGCCTCGTAGGACTGCAATACATGCTGGAAATCGGGATGTGATTACTAGTGACTAGTCCACTAAACTGTTAAACATTGCTACCCTAGTCAGCACCAGAAGCACTAGTCAGTTAGGATAGTCTGACGTTACACAGCCACCCACCACTGGCCTGTGAATCCCTTCAACTTCTCCCCTTTAATGTTATAAACCAAAAGGTGGAAAGTGAGACAGATGACATTTGCTAAAACCAGCACAGTTTGATAGTATTTCAATCTACTACAACTAAAAATATGGCCGTATGTAGGCTGTGTCAGAATAAACTGGCATAGAGCAGAAAAATGCACAACTACATGCAGCATCAAATGATTTTGATTTTGAATTTGAGTGCTGTTGTTGTTGCTGATTTTATGTTGTGTTGTTTTTTTCTGGTGTAGCAATTTATATTTATAAATTAATAAAGTTTTATTCTAATTCTAATTCTAGCACAGTTATGTTAACCTGCAACATGTTTTAAATGTTGGGCTAACTGTCAGCTCTTATTTTGGTGAATTCCCGTCACGTTTGGTTGGGTAGTGTACAACGTACCACACATTTCAGCCGCATCTGAAGTATTTTTGTTATTGAAGAAAGCAATTAATGGTTTCAAATGTCTCTTAAATAGCTCTACACTATATTTTTTGTTCATCACCTCATTGTAAAACAGAGCTCAATTTTGACAGTTTTCTGAGTGTTTTGTTAGATTTAAACCAGGCAGCTAGTTCAAATTTACATTTCTGTGTAATCAACACAAAGATCAGTAGTTAGAAGCATCATTAGGTGCAAGGCAGATTTGGTTACCTTCAGTCAGGTGAGCTGTGTCACTTGTTTCCAGTCTTTGTGCTAACCTAAGCTGAAACTATCTAGCCATAAAAATCACCAAACAAATGGTCAAAAGATGTGTTTGGTCACATGACACATGAAAGCTTTCTTTTTTACATAAAGTTATGTGCATAAACATCTCGGTTATGATTAGAAACACCCTCTGATTTGTTCATAAAAGCACTACTTATTTTATAATGGTGACTTCCTTCTTTGCCCCCAGGAGCAGAAAATGGCATTAATTTGGCAGCTGGGATGCAAAACTAAAAGATACAGTAAAAAAGAAAGTAATTTTCCATTATTACAAATATAGTTTCCAACTTTAATGATAGATAGATAGATAGATAGATAGATAGATAGATAGATAGATAGATAGATAGATAGATAGATAGATAGATAGATAGATAGATAGGTCATTTATTTTGTTGTGAAAATGCTTTTTTAAAAATCTTTAAAGATATCTCTCATTTTAATGTATTTTAGTGTTATTCACAGTTACAGTTCTTTTTTATTGTGGCATGTAAGTTAAAGAATGTTTTAATGTATTTCAGAAATATGATATAAACGCTAAAAAAAACAGATTGTTTTAGAGCGTATGGTCTCTAGAGGGTTTGGTCATTTTAGCATTTGCTGAAAAAAGTTTTTAATTGGAGGACATCCTCGTTTAAGAGTACAGACACGAGAGTGGCGTCAACCTTCTCATGTCAATAAAGACATCTGTCTCATCGAATGAGCAAATGAGTGTATTTCTGTCTGTGAGTCACGTTCTGTCAGTTTGCTTCTTTGACCCTCACCTTCTAACATGGCCTTGTGTATAAATAGACCGTTTGCAACACAATCCAGAGGGGAAGCCTGATGATGAGTGACGGGAAAGGCCCAGTGTCACCCCAGATCTCATAACCCACGTGCCTCAGTTACTCAAAATATTCACCTAATGAGGCAAATGAAAAGTCAGGATTCCTGCTCTCCCTGTTTAACTCCTAGTGACCTCTATCCTGTACTTTACTCACGATCACACACGAAAACACGCAGCTGCCAGTAGGTCATAATGTTGAACTTCTGACCAACAGTTTCGCGTAGCACGTCTTATACAACGCTATCTTTACAACCCACTCCCATTAAAATTATCTTTGAAAATGAGCTCGTAAAACAACACTGCTGTTCAGGTGACATCAATGGGAGCGCTCCACTCGTTAGCCGAAACATGAGACCGGGCCTGCTGCCGTGACCTCAGTTTAAAGAGATAGTCTGGGAAGTGTGTCTATTTGCTGTCTTGTCGAGAGAGATGATAAGATCGATACCGCTGTCTTGTTTGTGAGCTATGAGCCATAAATACTTGAAAAAGGGGGGGAAAGGTGCACGTAAGTGTCTTCAGCGCCTATAAAAGCTCACTAATTGACTTGTTTAAACTGTACAACAACCAAAGTGTGAAAAGATGCTTTGTTGTGAATTCTTTCTGTGTAGACAAAAAAAAAATGTATGTGGTGACTATTTGTGCTAGTTGCCTGAGTTAATTAGCTCTATCTCCAGTGCCGGCGTTCTGTTTAATCCCTTAATTGATTCATTATGACGGCTGATGCCAGAAGTCAGTGATGTTGTTTTTTATGCCATATTTAAGCTATTTTTCGGGTTAATGGCGTTCTCTTTAAGATGTTGTGATACCAACTAATTAAGCTTGACGTATAATGAATTGTACGCCGCCTCGGGCCATCATTGCTGCATTGTGTGAGGTTAATTAGAGATGCACATTTGAGCGCATTGTCGTCTGGCAGCAGTCGACAGTTGGGCTTATTCGTAATTGCTGCTGCTTAAAATCAGGCAATACTCATGTTCTCTTTTTGGGTGTTTTAATTGCAGAAAACTTCTGCCACAATGTATCTGTGCAGCAACCATCTGGAACCACTTTCATGTCCTTAAAGAAATTCAGCAGCAGTCGTAGCTCTCCGGCAGCAGCCCAGTAAATTGCCCATCCCGTCTACTGGGGAAGAAACCCAACATGCTCAATGTGTTTCATCCTATATCCAGTTTTTGTGCGCGGCCGAGCTAACTGGCTGCAGTTTGATGTTTAGCAGACAGATATGAAAGTGACGTCCTTCTTCTCATCTCTCTTCTGATTTTTTTTTGCTTGAGGGCAAAGAACCTACTTTAAGTTCATTTAAAAAAAAGATTTGAACGCTTTAATATTCACCTAATTTTTTACTTGAAAAGACTGTAATCTTGGAATTTATTAAAAACAGTAGTTAGACAAGAACTCTACAGATGATCGAAAAGGTAAGAAACTATGATTCTGCTCCCTGTGTGCTCGTACTACTGATGTCGTATCTGAAAATGAGCAAAAACCTTTGAATCGTGACGGTTTATACTTTCAAACGATGTTACTGACATTATAGCCGTCCCCTGAAGGAACTGAAGTTTTCTTCCCTGCAGCAGTTAAACCATCAAAGACTGCAGTTAATTAGTTGCTGTAATTAGATCAAAAACCCAACAGATTTAGTTGAACCTGACTTTACGCACCAGGGGGTTGATCAGGGGTCGACTGATGCATATTGGTAGTTGTAGAAAAGGTGAGTGATCACCAGTATTTGGAAGGGATTTGCATTAAAAAAATAAATAAAAACACGAATGTAAAACTTTTGAGTAAGACGAAGTCAAACATAAAACTTTGTTGAAAAGCTTCGGTCTATTTATGTGTCAGGTCGGTTTAATTAAAAGAGATACTTTTTAACATCTACCCTCGAGTGTTGATAGACTTGTGAGGTGGCTGCATCAAAGCCAAAGCAGCGCATTTTTAAATCAATTTACTGATCCTCCTGAATAACTAAAAAAAAAAAACATAATGATACCCATAATCGGAAAAATGGTGAATATCCTTTCTGTACACAGCCTTTCTTGTGACTCTGCCACCATCAATTGTCTCAGTGTTTTCTGTTTTCCTCATTCTTTTTACACTCTAAAAGGTAATTCAAGGGGCCTATTTTCACTACTTAATTAAATGATCAGTTGCAATATTTAAAAAAAAAATCATGTACTGATTTACACAAAACAATGAAGTTGCAAACATTACTTTGATGGGTTGTGTTAAAACAATAATGTTGGGATTTGCATCAACTTAGCACGGTGTGTCATTTAAACTCAAAATTATGCCATTGTTAGTTGATAGTTCAAGTTGAGGTAACGTAATAGAACTGGCTCGGTAACTTCAATTTTCTTTCCTGGGAATTCAGGAGTTCAAGTCCTCTATGTGAACATGCCTGAATCACTTCAGATGGTTTTGACTAATAACTAAAAATGCATAGATAGTAAAGGAAAAGCTAATTCCCTCAACTCACTGTACGTTGTTGGCTGAACATAATTTCATTAGAAGTTATCTTATCTCAAAGAGACTGACGAACAGTTGCGTTAACTTTTTTTGTTGAGCCTAAACATAATCAGTATAAGCGAGTCTATTTATAGTCATGTTTGCGTGTTCATATTCACATCTGTTCTCAGTCCATTCATCCACTAAACCTACAGACGTCACACCAACCAACACATTTATGGCATCACGGAACCGCCCTCCCCTCGCTCCCTCCCTCCCTCCCTACGTCTCCGGTCCATATCTACCTGTGCAATTGTCTCTGTCGCCATGGAGATGACAGTGGGGCACAGTTCGATTGGCAGACTCATCGGTGGCATTCCACTCTGCCAGGCAGTATTTGCATAAGGCCAGAACTGCAGCCAGAAACACAAACAAAACGCCGATCACACACAACAAATACGTGCACACACATGCACAATGCGCAAACATTTTAGCCAATGTGTGACCACATTCCAGTCAGAGGATTTGCATAGCAGATGACAGGAGTTTTACTACAACACATGCTATAAATAATGTTCCTGGTGACTCTCGGAGCAAATGTTCACTACTGACTGCACAGATAAAGATTTACACAGATAGGTATGATGATATCACAGTGAGTTTGTTAATGTAATGCTGGGGGGGAAACCTGTTTTGACAATGTTTAGTAATGACTGAGGATATATTGCTTGTGTTTGGGCTCTTTATTCAATCATTAACTAGCTGAAGCTGTATTGCTCAGTAGAAAAGCACCGTCTTCAAAACTTATTTTAGCTGCAGTAGTTTAAAAGCACATGGATGTTAATAATTAAAACGATACAGAATGAACTCATACAATGGCCAGAAACAAATAGGAACTATATCCAAACATCATTTTAATGTGTCTGTTTGAACGTTTCTGAACTCTACTATGATAAATCCCGTCTTCTGTTTATGACCAGTAAGAAGAAGAAGGTAAGCAAAAGGAGAAAACAACAGCGATTCTTACCTGTTACTAATCCTACATAGAGTCTGTACACCTTGGCCATCTCCTCACTTGATAAAAGTATTCATCCGACGTATGCAAATTCTGTATCTTTGACAAATAGAAGTCAAACAATCTTTTCTCAGAGGTCAACGACCTTTGAAAAAGGTGTGGACAAGCCGTGGAAGTTCCCCAGTGGTGTGTCGTATTGTGGCTCTTCATTGATGGCGCTTAAGTTCATAATCAGTCAGAAAAGCTTGAGGCTGTAACCGAAGCGTACATACACACACACACATACACACAGAAACACACACACACACACACATAGACACACACGTGCAGCCCACAGCGGCTCTCTGGACTGTGACTGGACTCAAACTACAGTGTGTGAGAATAGAAAAGTGGGTTGGCACTGAAACCCAACTCTGCTCCCTGCTCCCCGCCCACACCTTTAAAGGAGAAGATGACTCTATTCAGGCCTCTCAGGTTGTTTCCTCTTTAAAGAACAAGTGCGCCTTTATACCTGACCTTCCTTCTCTTAAGAATGAACCGACTGGGTGGAGCATCCATTGATACTAAACAACAACCTGTTCACCAGCAAACGACTTCAGACTCTATTGATGCATTCCAATCCATTGTCTTTTGGAGCTTTGTGGGTTTTGTGGACCAACAGAAAGCAGATAAATGTAGAACGACATCAGATGTGGAAAATGGACTGTTGCAACGTTTGGACTTCTTGTGGGTCTGGACTGACTCCTGCAGAGTTTGAAAGAAATGGAAGAAAGGTTAAAGAGACAGATGGATTCAGCCAGTGCTTTACTTGAGTATTTCTAGTTTGTGCCACTACTGCACTACATTTCAAAGTGAAGTGCTGCACTTTATACTTCCCGACATTTATGAGAGGTACTTTAAGGTCAAGATTTTACAAACAAACATGAGATAAGCCCGTAAAAAAGTGGACTGTCATAAAACAAAGCATCCAACAGCAATGAAAATACATTAAATTAACTCCATATTGACCAAATATATCAATGAAGTCTGTCTGCTTACATATGGATGTATCAGTAACACTGGTTTAAAGAATCATAAATGATAGGGTAGCGTTCATGTGGGCCCATATTGTGTATTTTAGTTTTGATACTTGCTGCACATTTGGACAGTTCTTCCATACATTTACCTTAAGGAGTATTTTCTCTATAGGTATCCGACATGTAATTTACTAGTTCTACATTGTTATGTAACCACTTTGGCTGAGGTAATACATTAAATGAACTCCTAATACATCCTAAACTCAGCCAGCAGATGGCAGAATTTGACACTTTTACTCAATGATTATGACTTTTGTCTTGTGACACTTTAAATAGTGCCTATGTTTTATATAATACCGTCCTGTCACCTTTTTAAACCATACCTGTTTACGCCATGTTACAGTTAATATCATTCTTAAACTTATCCTTAAACCACCTCTCTCATGCCTTTCCTATGATTTTCCTGTTTGACAGAGAACCAAGCTGCGTAAGAATTCCTTTAACTAGCACCTTGAGCCATCGTAAAGAGAGCCACAGGAGCCAAAACGGACCCATGCAGAGTTGGATCTATCGCTACAGCTACATACAAACATTAACCTCGACCAAGCAGGGAAATTTTCTGTTCTTTGAGTGGGAGAAATTCAAGATCAGCACCACTCTCATATGAAGCTACTCTACATTTCTGTTTCGTTTTTGTTAATTATCATATTCGCGGCAAAACTAAATAACATTCATGGTAATGCGTCATCAT